AGAATTGACAAGAAAACAAACTTAAGTTATTGCATTAAGACTAAATGGTTTTGTCCCAGTGGTCAGAAAGAACTCAGATTAAGCTAAAAAAAACAACACTTTATTTTAGCATTTATTACCTCATATTCTATCATTTTTTGCAGTGTAACGGTCTCATCTACGGTCTGAATAACAAACAGCCCAAACGAGACCAAACATGTGGCATTTTCTGTTTAATAATTTAACTTTAAAACAAACAGTTTCATATTAGATCACTGAGCACTTTGTTATTCTAATGTTTCCTTCTACAGCAAAGTTCTGCGAGATCTCTGCTTCAAAGACTATTAAATACATCTGTTTGTTTTCTAGATTCTACTGCACGGAAACATGTCCAGTGTGTGCACTTTTTAAGGCATTCAACACAAAAAATCACAATGGAATGTTCTTGCACCGAAACCGTTTTTTATTTACCCATTTCACATTTGACATTTGTTCCCTACACTTTTTGAGCTTGTTTTTGTGCCATAGTTTTTAAGCCTGTTTTATTCAATACTCGTCAGGTGCACGCTGAGGACTTTTGCACATGTATTCCACTGTGGTTTTACTGCAAATAGAGATTAAACTGAATCTGAAAAAGATCTACTTCATATCTATTTTTACCTTTTGCGCCGTGAGCCAAAGCCAAACCCTAGTTTCTGACTTCCTGCTGCTTACAACAGCTACAAAAACAACAACGCTTTGTACTCTGTGTTTATCGGCTTTGAACACTGGTTTATTAGCTCCAAGAAGAAGAAACAACAAGGTCTGAGGACAGTGAGACTTTTCTGGACATTAGTCTCTGCCTCTTCTTCTCCTCTTCTTGCATTTTAACTGATTGATTCTCTGATCCGTGTTGGCGAATTTGACATAACTACTGCTGTGATTTAGGGTCTATACAAGCATAAATCTAATTATTATTATTGTGACAGGTAACCGATGCTGTGTTCAGAGGCCATATAGCTAACAGCTAATTTTCAGACCTGGAACAAACTTAACCTAAAAACTCCTAGCTTGGAGTCTCAGCTTTAAAAATATTCCAGAACATTCCCAGAGAACTCTTGAGCAAGGAATGGTCAAAAACTCCTGTCTTAGTGAGATAACTGTGTTTGTAGAATATCTCTCCGGTCTTTTCCGCCATTTTGTCGCTAAAAGTCGTCCTCTCTGCTCTTTCGAGATCTCACCTTAGGAACGCAGCTTTTTCTCTAAACTGGGATCTACTCTTCACTTATAGCGGAAATTCTAAGAGTACGTCAAGATTCTAAGAAATGTTTTAAGAATTTGGCCACTAGGAGCAACTCTTAGCACAAAAAATCTTTGGGAATACGGCCCCTGGTTCCTAAGACACAAAAACACATCACATTTAAATAGATTATTATAAAAACACAGATTACTCAGTTCAAAATATTGCGTCTGGGTCATTTTGTCTAACTTTCATTTTAAACTCATACAGGTTTGAATTGTTCTTACCGCTTCTTTGAGGCCGGCGAGGGTGGGGCTGTTGAGCATGAGGGCGTTGAAGACCTCCTCAGCGGTGGTCCGAACGTACAGCAGAACTATTGCAGAGGAAATGGAAATTAGTAAACCTTTTTTTTTAAATCGAGCGTCATGACATTCTGGATCCGTGACTCGAGCACCTCGCGGGTCTTCCTGTCGAGCGAGTTTAGACGGAGCAGAGCTGCAGTCTCCTCTGTCCGGGTACAGCCGCTTCAGAATCCCCCTGAACACAATCACACAAGAGAGGTTTTACACTACAGAATATATTTACAAATATCTGCTGCAAAACCCAAAGAACAACTCTGAGAGGAGGTTTTTATCAGTCAAAGGAGGTGATCTATGGAACGGTCTACACACTGAAGAGCGCATTTGCAAAAACAGACATCTCCGTTTTGAAAATGTGCCAAAAAGTTGTATTTCTTTAGCTACAATAATCCACTTTTTTTTATTGGCAGTAAATTTGAAAGGATTTGCTCAACAAGGGGTGAGATATTATTTGTATGGCACTAAATACACCTGGCTTTTTGTAAGTCTCTCCGGTATTTTTTTTTTATTTTTTTCCGATATTTTTTGTAAGTCAATATTTTTTCTAATGCTCTTATCTGTTTTTCTAAATTAACTATTCATATACAACTTAAGGGCCCAAGATTTTTCAAAGCATTAGAAAAAAGTATATTTATATCCTGCACAGACTTTATTTTTAACATTAATCTTAGAAGTTAAACGCGGAGAAGTGTGGAACCAATGCATTATGCTCAAAGCAAAACACATGTCTCAGATGTATCTTAACTTGAGCTCATTCTGTCAGAGATTTGCCGATGGGAAATCTGCTTTTAAGAACGTACTGAAATTAAAATAATAAACACTAGAATCGAGCACTTTTGACCTCATATGTTGTCTTTTTTTTTGTGTTTAAAAACTGTTCTTTTACAATGAAAATGCTGCATATTTTCATTGGAAAAGAAACAGCAAAAAGTGTCTTTATCTGGACATTATTTAACACTTTTTATCTAGCTCAAAACTTCTTAAAATACACAATTTAGTTATTTTTTCTTATTGTAAAGTCTCCTCCTCCTCCTCTTCCTCCTCCTAGTACTACTGCTACTCCCACTCCTCAGAATCGTCAGTTAGGGCAGAGGCGTGTGGAGGAGGTTTCTGTTTGTGAATGTGCCACAAATCTCACCTTTCGCTTTCGTCCACAGGAGCGGCCTGGAACAGACACAGATGAGGAATGAGATTAGAGCGTTGTGCAACAGCAGAACAGAACAGCCACCACTGCATTTCCCAGAACCACGGACACAACCATCACATCAACTACAGCATTCCTTTTATACACAGCTTTATTATAGCTCTGATCACGTTTAAATACGACTCAGACACTGCTGTTTGTGAACACCCAAAGACGCTCCAAGAAGCCGTCATCAGTTTAGACCAAGCACTTTAACAATCAAGCACTTGTGTTGGTCGATTTCACAGCAACGTTGGTTTCCGGTACTTTTTAGCTTGTTTTATTTCTGTAATGTCCCTGATGCACACTGGGGACGGAATTCTAGGAAAGAACCGCACTCTCTGGTCTTATTTGACGAGCAAGTATCACCAGAATGACAATTGGGAGGACCAATAGTCTTGATGATCCACACTACATTCAAGGCCAGGTTTAAAACAGTCCTCTTTAGTTTAGCATATGGCTCGGAAGGTTAGACTCAGGGAAGGCTAAACTCAGACTGTCAGTCAAGCTGCATAGGGAGTCAGTTTGCTGGGAGAAGTATGGTAACTTAAGCACTATCCTCTCCTCCTTCCTACTTTATCTGTTTAGCATTATTAGGATTTTGACTGTAGTCTGTTCATTGCTATTCACCCGTTGTCCCATTGTCTGTTCCATGGTGCGACAGCGGAACCTCTGAATCTGGCCCTCTCCATCTACACCTGCGGACTGCCCCGCCCGACCCGCCTAAGAGTGCTTCAATCCTGCACCGGACCTGTCCAAATTCTGCCGCCGCTGGTCCTCGTTCTGTAGCTTAGGTCCTGGATCTATAGCCTCAGTCCTCGTTCTACAGTCTGAGTCCTGGATCTATAGCCTCAGTCCTCGTTCTACAGTCTGAGTCCTGGATCTACAGCCTGTGCGTCGGTGTAAAGTGGAACCCTCTGTCAATGTGGATCTCCCTGAGGTTTCTCACTTTTTTCCCACTGGGTTTTAGAGTTTTTCCTCTGATGCAGGAGTCTGTTGGACAGTTAGTGTCTAACAAGAAGGACTGTGGTGATCCAGGACACTTTAACATTCTACAACACGTCTGACATTTATCAACATTTATGGACATTGGTCTCTCTCTATGGACCAAAACCATGAGTTCTATATTTTTTGTGTCTTAACTGTTGATTCTCTGATCTGTGTTGGTGATTTCAATGGTTCTGTTAAGTCTCTGAGATGACACTGTTGTGATTTAGGGCTATACAAGAATAAATTGTATTGTATTGTATTGTAGTAAGTAGAAAATCCCCCTATAAACTCTTATAGACATTTCAAATCACTGAATTGTGTGATAACCTTTATATCTGTATTTATTATATGACTTGGACCGTACGCGCGCTCTGATTGGCTGATTACCGGTCTGATATTTTCCCATCTCAGACCGTTACCATGACAATCTGTCCGCAGCCCGTGTCACACAAAACCAAGTCGGACATGAACATACTTCACAAATATCTCAAAAGCATTGGTAAAGACACAGACAAGAGTCATATAGTAAAACATTTATTGACCTTGCTTGCTCCGTCTGTACAGAGAAATATCAGACCTCGCGCTCGGTTAATAAGCCGTTAATATGTCGTTTTGTGTTTTAAACGTTTTTTCTTGCTTTTTTCTACCTGTACATGTTGCTACAGTACAGTGTTCATGGTTTTACACGGATCCGGACCACAGAAGGGAGGATTCATGGTCCATAAATCCACTGGAGGAATGTTTTAGAAAAATGCCAACAAAGGATTCAGAATCTCTATTTGGACCAGAGCTGAGAAAATGGTCCGAACCAAGCGGCTGTACCATCTCTGCTGCTGTGACCTGAAGTTCTGTGCTTCTGGGATCAATAAAGTATCTATCTATCTATCTATAACCCACGATTCAGATTATTACCGTATAGCAGAGTAAACAAGAGAATCGAGTGATTGTAGGGCAAACGTGCGGGTCCAGGGCTCTTCAAGGACCCCTGGGAAAAACATTGTTGAACTAAGATGATGTTTTCCATAATGTAATCGGAGTTGTGCAATAGCCCTCCTGGTTCTGTCCATCCTCTGGGACCGTGGGAACTCTGTCCTGCCTCAACACAACCATTATTTGCACATAGATCAGATGCAAAAGCCAGAGGTGTTTCCTAAGCCCCCAGATAGTCCAGGACACAGGCAGCTGCCGCGGCTTGTTCTCCACGTGCCGAGTTTCGACTAGGAGGGGTTTTTCTCTCCCTCTCTCCCCACTCTCTCTCTCTCTCCACACATTCTTTCCCACACTTCTCTGGGGATCCCTCGGTGTGAAGACTTACCAAGACTCGCAGGCTGGAGAGGTGTGTGTCTGGGATGAAGAGGACCGGGACCGTGATGTGGTCGTCCAGAGTCTGCAGCAGCGTGCTCTCTGCAGAACTGCCCAGCGCGGCCTTGTTCGCTGCAAGTCAGATATACAGACTTTACCCTTTAATTCATATATACAGACTTTACCCTTTAATTCATATATACAGACTTTACCCTTTAATTCATATATACAGACTTTACCCTTTAATTCATATATACAGACTTTACCCTTTAATTCATATATACAGACTTTACCCTTTCATTCATATATACAGACTTTACCCTTTAATTCATATATACAGACTTTACCCTTTAATTCATATATACAGACTTTACCCTTTAATTCATATATACAAACTTTACCCTTTAATTCATATATACAGACTTTACCCTTTAATTCATATATACAGACTTTACCCTTTAATTCATATATACAGACTTTACCCTTTCATTCATATATACAGACTTTACCCTTTAATTCATATATACAGACTTTACCCTTTAATTCATATATATAGACTTTACCCTTTAATTCATATATATAGACTTTACTCTAGTCCCTCTTGGTCCTGGTTCTATCCAGGCCGAGCTGTTACTAAAGTGTTGTAACAGACAGTGATTGGTCAGAGTACAGTAGACTAGACTAGACCATAAACTAGACTAGACTATAGACTAGGACCAGTATAAGACCAGTCTAGGACCAGTCTAGGACTAGTTCAGGTCTTGTCTAGGACCAGTCTAAGACCAGTTCAGTTCTTGTCTAGGACCAGTCTAGGACCAGTTCAGTTCTTGTCTAGGACCAGTCTAGGACCAGTTCAGTTCTTGTCTAGGACCAGTCTAGGACTAGTTCAGGTCTTGTCTAGGACCAGTCTAGGACCAGTTCAGTTCTTGTCTAGGACCAGTCTAGGACTAGTTCAGGTCTTGTCTAGGACCAGTCTAAGACCAGTTCAGGTCTAGTCTAGGACCAGTCTAGGACCAGTTCAGGTCTAGTCTAGGACTAGTCTAGGACCAGTACAGGACCAGTCTAGGACCAGTCCAGAAGGAGATGATTTCATAAACAACATTAGATTGAAATAAGCTCCACATAGAAACAGACAAAGTGCCAAAGTTATGCAGACCAAAAACATACACAAGCCGAATTACACTTCCAAAACCAAAAGCCGTCAAATTGACTGCTCTGGGAGTTTGGACTCACCGTTAGCATCGACGCTCTTGGTCCTCCTCTTGGACCTCTTCCTCTCCTCATCCCTCATCTTCCTCTCTGCGCCCTACAGACAAAGCACAGGTTGTATCACAAACACACACTGCAAAATATTAACGGCTTATTAAACGAGCGCGAGGTCTGTCCAGAGAAATATCAGACCTTGGTCTTTTTGTACAGACTGAGCCGTGGCTATTGTTCTGGACAGATCGAGCAAGCAAGGTTAATAAACGTTATATTATATGACTATTTTTAATGTATGCAAATATCGATCGGTGTCAACTGCAAAAACACATTTGACCAAACTGTCAAATGGTGACATGAAGAACTTATCAGATGATTGAGGTCGCCCGCTGTAAGTTCTCCATCTCCTCTGTGTCTTTACCAATGCTTTTTAGATATTTGTGAAGTATGTTCATGTCCGACTTGGTTTTCCCAATCCTGTTTTTATCTTTCTGATTTGTAACGAAGTTGTCGATCTCTTCTCGACTGTGAGGAGTTGTGTTTTCGTGGTTATTTGCTGTTATTACTTCCTCTGGCTCTTCCAACTCGTGCGGAAAATAGAATTCACTGAAGAATGCTCCCAGTCGTCGCCCATTATTTTGTTTTTACCGAGGAATGATATCAAATCTGATACGCGCTGCGGACCGATTGTCATGGTAACGGTTTGAGATGGGAAAATATCAGACCGCAAATCAATCACGATCCAAGTCATATAATATATTAGGTAATAATGGCTTGAATCCTGTGGTTTTTCTTTTAATTTGCCTTTAATGCTTTATTTTCTCATTCCACGGGAGACATTTCTGTATCTTTTTAAAACCATGCTTTGTCCCGTTGGCAAATCTTGTTTAAGGCTCAGTCAAAATGTCCTCAAATTAAGATACATTTGGCCAAATTCTGACTTATTTTTTCTTCACTTTTTGCAGTGTACAGGAGCATGACGTCCTGGACCAGAGTGAGACTCACCTTATCACAGAAGATCTTGACCTGGCAGGCGGCGCGGTGGATCAGGCGGTTGGTCCCGGAGCTGAACTCGTACGTGTCGATCTGGAGGTTGAGGGGTTGACCTTTGACGCCTTTCTGTGAGGAGAAGTCTGTGCTGAGGGAGTTGATGCCAATGTAGACCTGAAGAGAGAGTTTGAAATATACAGACCATATGAGTCTCAGTCCTGGGTCTACAGTCTCAGTCCTGGGTCTACAGCCTCAGTCCTGGGTCTACAGCCTCA